TGGAATAGTATTGCAAATAGAATCAACCAAGAGCATAATACTAATTTTACTGGTTATCATTGTAAAGAAAAATTTTCAAATCTTGTTTGGAGTTATAATGTAAGTTCGCACTATAAAGCATTATTTTTTTATCTAGCTCCTATTAATATAATTAAATTACTCGATTAGGTGATGTGTGAATATATGTCAGGTAGTCGTGGAGCACGTAGAAATCGAATAGGTGCGCAATACTTTGATGAGTTTCGTACACATTTTTGGGAGAGGCCTGAAGATGAATTCGATAGAATCTATACTCTTAATATCTCAAACCGTAGCCGGAATAGAGATGTGGGAAATACAACACCAGCACCACCTATTGAGGAAGTTGAGCATGTATTGAGTATGAGATCTTCTGTTAGACGAATAAACCAGTCTCCATCTATTATTAGTAGAAGGAGTTAAAGACATTCACCATATCCTGTTTCACTCCATGATAACACTAATATAAACAACTCTGGTATGAGAAATTCTGAGCAAAATATTAGCGTTCCTCTGCCTCCAATTGAAACATTATCTCCCCAACCACCACCTTACTCATGGGCCACAAATAAAGCACAAAATAATAATCAAAGCCAAGACAGTTCTAACTACGAAGTAGCTGTCCCCGGTAGTAATCCAACACCTGATTTGCTAAATTTATCCTTATTACGAAATGAAAGTGATGCCATTATGCATGATATAGGTAGTCAACCACTCTTCCTGATAAATGAAGAGGAAAGATAAAGATCCTCGATCACTTTTCTATATTTAATAAAAATAGTATGAGTTGCCATATGGGCCTGCTGTATACATGTGGATATATTGCTAATTTTTGATATTTTTTTGTTGTATGGTAGCATCACATGATTTTGGCACTGAAATTTTACCAAAAAAAATAAAAAATAGTCTCAGAAAATGTCTGATATTTCTAGTAATAAAATCGATTGCATAACACAGATGTTCGATCAACATATCGCATGTCATATCAAAGAAGAAAATCAAAGGTCATGGAACTTCTGCATGTACAGTGGCTTAGCAATTTTATATATGTTTATTATGAAAAAGCCAACAGCACTTTAGATGCAGAGCATCCTCTTTCCAAGAGACAGTGGCTTAACAGTAGTTTATGACTTTTTAATATACGTACATAGTGAGAATAATTTAAAAATCTTTTTATTGTGTTACAATATTATAAGTCGCATAAAATTAGTAATTGGTTTGTGTCACTTTCCTGCAGGATTAATTCTCACAATTAATTTTTATTAATAACGAATATTACGAATAATGCGAATAATGTCTAGACCTATACGATCCTGCGATAAGAATGGGGCTTAAAAAGGCTATAAGGGTAATAAGTATAACGTTCCTTATCAGTAGTTTTATCCAAATTTATATGTTATGGGGGACTTGGAATTCCCAGATCATCAAGATCGTTGACTTTTTTCACTTCACAGAAACGATCGTTGAATCTAAGAAGAGTTAATTTTACCAGAAAAATAACAAAATAGACCCAGTATTTGGAACTTATGGCCGAGCGGAGTTGCTTTATTCTGCTTTATTCTGTTATTTACTTACTAATCATGTACTTTTTTTTCTGGTAGGTTCTAAAATCTAACGAATGAACAGTATAAAATAAGCAAGTTCCCACCCGTAAGATAAGTTAGCAATAATGTTATTTTTTGCTCATATATAAATTTACTTGTCTACTTGGCTATAATTTATTTTTTAAGTAATTTGCTATTTTATTTAACGGAGACTATAAAAATGAATTTTTGCTTACTTTGTTTTTTGTATTTAGATACGAAAAATGAGCAGTAAAAAAAAAACTACCACTATCAAGACTAATGACACCAACACTACCCCCAAGACTAATGATACCAACACCACCCCCAAGACTAATGATGCCACCACCACGAGTAATAACACCACCACCTCCATGACTAATGATAGTAACTCCTCTGAGAACTATTATGTCTCCCAAACACCGCCCAATCCAAGACCTAGCCAAAGAACATCTAATTCCAATCGTCAATGTAGAAGTAGAAGAAACAGATATGGTAGGAGGTAACTTTTATTAAAAAGCGCTCTTCATATATTTGTGAAACTAAGGCTAAAACTCATTTTATTGGGCCATGTCCGTGCATTAAATTAGACGATTCAACCTATAATCCTAGAGATGATGACTATAATATTGATGAAGGCAGACCCTTGGACAATTTTTCAGAAGAAAATTCAGAATGGTGTGAGGAAAATCATTTCAATGAGTATGAGAATCCTGGACAACGACAAGAAAGGCTAAATCAAAATTAATAAATAGTTCATATTTTTGTTTGCAGTATACAACTGTGATGTATTTTTTTATTTGTATATTGATTTGGCAATATTATTTTTTATAATAATAAAGTGGAGGTTCCATGGCCTCGCCATTTTTTATTTTTACATAATTTTTGCAATGTAATTTGCGATTATTAATTAGTGGAAATAATAGAGTCCATTCCTAATTACCTTATTAACCTATGCTTTTATGGTTACTATTTGGATTGAATTTTGATATTTATTTTTATAACAATAAAGACGATAAGTTTTTTCACCACAATATTTGCCACTTCTCCACTCACCCTCTATAAAATTTCTTATATTCTTTTTTTTATGATCATTGTTGCATATAGAACAGAGTACAGATCTATTAAAATCAAAATAATTACTATATTTAAAACTATGTTTCAAAGTTAAATAAGGAAATTGTTCTAATACCATTTCAATAACATGTTGTTGCCTTTCTTCCGGGTCTTTAGATAGAACAGAAATTGGTGATCGAGATTTTGATGGCATAGACTGAACATTTATTCATGGTACAAATAAAGTTTTCTCCTCAAAAGATTCAGAGGGTTTGGAATCCATCCAAGGATCAAGACCAGTTTCTTTCTTGTATCTCTTATATAACTTGGAATGAATTTTGTCAGTTAAAACACTTGGTAATCCAGTAAATTTATAATTCTATTTCAAATATTCAGGAGTTAATGTTTTATTGGACTTTGTCTGTGTATTCATGTTATTATTTATCTAATTGTGCGTCTCTTTAAATTAACAAGATTTAACAAAAAATATGCCTCAGAGAGACATCTTAAAGACTTAAGCGAATTGTATTAGCATAAGATAGTGGAGCTAGTGTCATTGACATTTAAAATTCATGCTGTTATCTCAATTTCAATTCCACGCTATTCACATTTAACATAATAGGATCCAATTTCATATCTACCTTCTATGTCTTCGTCGTTATGTTTTAATTTGCATAAAGGACATAATGTCTCATCAGTAATTCCGTAATAATCTACATTTTCACTATTTCCATCTTTATATAAATTAGGATACTGTTCTAGTATTTTATTACAGAAATAGGTACGATCACGAGTTGGATTAATCTGTTTTCTAGATAGGGTCTTTGTCTCGGGTGGCAATATGAATGATATACTCGTCTCAGTTTTCAAGTTTGAAGAGGCATCAGATGCTTGAGGTTTAACTGGCATACTAATCTTGGTTTCCAATAAAATCTTTGTTTTTGAGTCAGAAATTTGAG